CACACACACACACACACACACACACACACACACACACACACACACACACACTGAGGTTTTCGCGGGTGTTAGCATGTAGGTGTCTAGTTATTCGGGTTTTCTCCCGCGTAAAATTGGAGATGTCTTGGCGACGTTTCGACGAAGTCTCATTCGTCATCTTCAGGCTTCTTCAGGCTTGGTGCTTCCAGGGGCAATTTTTTTTAAAAGAGACGGCCCATCAGATAAACTGGTCCCAAGCCATGAAGGGCTTTAAAGGTGACAACCAACACCTTGAATTACACCCGGAAGCAAATCTGCATCCAATGCAACTCCCGCATGGGAGGTGATACATGTGCACACCCGGGTGTGCAAAAAACCATGCAGGCCGCTGCATTTTGCACTAACTGGAGCTTCCTGGTGCTCTTCAAGGGCAGCCCCATGTAAAGCGTGTTGCAGTAGTCAAGGCGAGAAGTGACTAAGGCATGAGTGACTGTGAGTAGGGATCGTTGGTCCAGGAAAGGACACAACGGGCATACTTGGCAAATGGCATCTTAAGGTACTAAAAAAGGAGGGGAATTTACTAGAGGTTATCAGTGAGGACAAAATATTGGTTTTCTTTGGAATCACGTTAGGCAAGCATTTTCAAAACGTCAGAATTGAGGGTTTTTTTAAAAAAAAAATTACTTTACTGGATCTCTTGATGACAGGTAGGGAAGTCTAACCAGCCAACCTGACCAGGAGGAAATTTGGGTCATGGATGGCTTCGTTTTTTAAATATGGTGCTTGGGGGGGAGGGGGCTATTTTGGTCAGTGTGATTAATTGATTTGTAATTGCACTGAGAGCTCTTAAATCATTAGAGATGACTGGTTAATGACAAACTGCTAGATGGGGTTTTGTTCGAGGCAAATTTCCTCACTCGCTGTGGTGTTCACAGCACTCTTAAGAGAACTGGTTTATTGACGGTTTTAATTTTTTTTTTCCTATAGCCCAGCGTGCTTATTCACATAAAATAGTTCTCCCCCCAAAATTACAAAAGGGAGAAGAGAACGACAGCCAGTGATAACAGCAACTAAGATCAAAAGAAGACCCTAATATTGTGAAGAATTTCTCATTATCCCTATTTGATTCTAGGCCAATGATTAAAACATGAGCCCTTCATAAATATCATGGTTTCCCATTCACTAATTCTTTTAGTCAGGGGACAACTTCAACATTTTTAGCAAGGGGTTCTCTGCCCAGTTGCTGGGTGGGCGTGGTCATGGTGGGTGTGGTCATGGTGGGCGTGGCCTAGTCAGCCTCCGGCACCACAGCGGGGTTGGGGACATTTTTGCCCTCCCTGGACTCCGGAGGTTTTCTTCAAGCCTGCGGGAGGGCGAAAATGGCCTCCCCAGGTTCCGGAAGCACTCCGGCCTTCCCAAACTTCCGGTAGGTTCATTTTTCGCCCTCCCTGAGCCTCTCCACGTGCCCTGAACTTACCTACATCCAAAACAGGCCATGTGGGAACTCCTGGGAGGGATGGGGCAGGGTGGGCGGGGCCAGCCAGGAGTGGGATTTGGGGGTTCTCCGAACTGCGCAGAATCTTAGCTAGAGGTTCTCCCGAACGCCTGCGAACGCCCAGCAGCCCACGCCTGCTTTTAGTACTCTGACAGTCCCACCCAAATTTAACAAAGGGGGACCGTGAGTTTCTTCCCCAAGCATCCCTGTGTGAGGTTGCATTCAGTGGAGATCTTCGACATTCCAGAATACAAGCACAATCACGGTCCAATATATACCGGAAGTGCCAATTTGGGGAATAACTGCTGAACAATTGGATTGATCCTTTTGTTTTTTTCTTCACCGTATCCAAATTGGCAATAAGTCAACATATTTCCCTTGATATAGATCCAGCATCTCAGAGGGACAACGCAGAGTCAGATTACAACTCTGAAGAATTTATCTTTAATTATGTGACTTGACAGAAAAGCTAGACTTTTAAAGAGGTGGTAGTGATGTTGCTTCTTCTAAATAAACCCCAAGGCTGAGAAAGATATGCAAGGAAACGAGAGAGCTTTTTTAAAGCGTATTTTCTCTTCCAAATGTATGTATTTTTTCTGGGTGCAACCAGTAAAAAGCAGCCACAATTTTAAACAAGTCTCTCTCTCTCTCACACACACACACACACACACACACACACTATCTACTTACAGTCCAGTTTGGTTCCTTCCATATGGAAAACGTAAAGGGATACAGTGGCTAAGTGGCTAAGACGCTGAGCTTGTTGATTGGCAGTTCGGCGGTTCGAATCCCTAGCACTGCATAACAGAGTGAGCTCCAGTTACCTGTCCCAGCTTCTGACAACCTAGCAGTTCGAAAGCACGTAAAAATGCAAGTAGAGAAATAGAGACCACCTTTGGTGGGAAGGTAACCGTGTTCTGTGCACCACATGACCACAGAGACGTCTTCGGACAGCGCTGGCTCTTCGGCTTTGAAACGGAGATGAGCACCGCCTCCTAGAGTCGGGAACAACTAGCACATAGGTGCGAGGGGAACCTTTACCTTTATATGGAAAACGTGTCAATTATTATTATAGCCAGACTCCACCAAGCCATGCAACTTCAGGAAGAGATGCCGTATCATGTTCTCTTCAAACACTATTGTTGAAATAGTTAAAGAGACTGTATTGTAGTGTTATTTTATGAATGGATTTGGCAGCAATGGTATAAAAATAGCTCACACCATCCTCCTCTCCTTCCTCTCTGAAATCATGTTGCTGTAGAAATGTGTCTGGATGAAATGGGTTGGAAGGCTGTCTACAATATTTATGTTCTAAGGCGACAACTGCAGATAGTCCTCAACTTACAAAACTTTGCTTGGTGAAGTTACAACAGTATTGAAAAAAGTGACTTAGCAGCATTTTTCACACTTATGACCATTGCCACATCCTCCACGGTCACTCACACAATTTACATTCGGATGCTCGTCAACTGACTCGTAGTTAAGACGGTTGCAGTGGCCCAGGGTCATATGTTCATCTTTTGCCACCTTCTGACGAGCAAAGTCAACGGGGAAGCCAGATCCATTTAAACAACTGTGCTACTAATTTAACAACTGCAGTGGTTCACTTACGAACTGTGGCAAGAAAGGTTGTAAAACGGGGCAAAACTCAGCCAATTTCTCACTTAGCGCCATAAATTTTGGGCTCAATTGTGGTCGTAAGTCGAGGACTACCTGTATTAACTTTAATCATTGATCCTTCTGGCTAGGGATGATAGAAATTTGTTGTGGCCCAGCAGGAGCCGTTGGAGCTGCAAACAGACTCCAATAGCGAGGGGCCCTATGAGTCGGCTCTGGAAGATGTGAAGGACCCTGGACAGGGTTCAGAGTCTGAGCAGGGACCAGAGAGACTGGTTGGCCACCAGGAGGCTCCTGAGGCATGGAGCAGTGGTGAAAGCCAAAGGGAGTTTGTCTCTGACGTCAGGCAAAGACGGGCAGATAAGCACCGACAGCAACTACGGAGATACAGAAGATAATTGGGGCCAGGTGGTTGTGATTAGGCTCCTCCCAAGAGGGTATATAAGAAGAGACTTTGGGAGGAGGCTGTTTGCAGGACACAACTATTATACTCAAGCTGGAGAAACTCTTGTGTGTATTTCTTATCTGTGGAAGTCTGGGTTTCTGCCAAAGTCTTGTCGGTGTGTTAATTTACTGTGAATAAATTGTCTAGCAGTAATCTTGTGTCGGTGTGACTCACCGTACGGAGGGGGGGTCAGAACAGAAATTGTAGTCCAAAACCTAAAGGGACCTTGGTTGAAAAGGTTTACTATAAAGAGAATCAAGGTTTGTAACAACAACGTTTGAATTTGCACCTCCCCAAATCAGCTTAAAATGTGTAGGCCTTTGTCCCATGATTCCTCCTTCACTTTCTGATTTTAAAGTGCAAAATTAAGGATTATTGTTGTTTTGTTTTGTTTTGTTTTCAGAATATTGGTGAGTCAACATTATTTAATGCACTGAAGCAGCTGCTGCCTATCATCAAGTCTTACACTAATAGGACAGCTGATGATTACACTCCCGAAGAGTTACTTCTATTATTGGTGTATATTTACTCCATAGTGGGAGAAGTCAAAACTGGGAAAGAATTAAATGAGGCTGAAAGTCAAGTGAAGGAGGCCTTTGTCCAAGCTATTTGCGACGAACCTGAGCTACCCCCTTTGCTGCAGAAAATAGTAGGTAAGTGAACTCTGCTTATACCTCCAACGGAGTTAACTTTTAGTCCAAGCGAGCAATGTTTTCATACCGGATTTCAGTATAGAATTCTATCACCTAAGTTAGATTTTGTGTGATAAAGCACGTGGAATAGGCATTTAAAGTGTGTTGGTTACTGTATGGTAATTAATGTAGAGAAATAAATATAACAGCAGCAATTGAAGGATGCAATAAGTTTTGTTTTCATGGCAGTGAAATGCATTGAATAAGATCTATTTTTTTTTTTTTTTGGTGATAAACGTAGGAATGGTTGTATTGTAAAATAATGTAATCCTAGCCATGTCTATTCAGAGGGAATTTTGATTCGCGTAATTTCTACGTATGTGGGACAGCTACCTAAAAAGATTTGGCAATGCATTTGGTAATGTTGCAATGTATGGCTGTGAAAGTTGGACCATAAGGAAGGCTGAGCACCAAAGAATGGAGGCCTTTGAACTCTGGTGCTGGAGAAGTCTACTGCAAGCCCCTTGGACTGCAAGGCCATCAAACTGGTTAGTCCTAGAGATCAACCCTGACTGCTCTTTAGAAGGCCAGATCCTGAAGATGAAACTCAAATTCTTTGGCCACCAAATTAGAAGGAAGGACTCCCTGGAGAAGAGCCTAATGCTGGGAAAGATTGAGGGCAAAAGAAGAAAGGGATGACAGAGAATGAGGTGGCTGGATGGAGTCACCGAAGCAGTAGGTGTGAGCTTGAATGGACTCCAGAGGATGGTAGAGGATAGAAAAGCCTGGAAGAACGTTGTCCATGGGTTCACAATGGGTCGGACACGACTTCGCAACTAACAACACCTGAACTTCAGAATAAAAATTAAACTTTCCGGCAAGTGAGACATTTTTGGTTACTACCCTTATCAAGGTATAAGTGCACATTATCGAGAACCTGCAGAATGGCAGCCTTGTACCAAATTTTGTCCTTTGCGCTCCATTAATATATGAAAAGGTTTCTTCTCATTAGCACATTTCTCCATTCTCCTTCAAGCAACAGCCAGTGACGAGGAGCCCATTGGAGAAATTGAGTGTGCAATTAATGTGGGAGACAGATTAAGTTGAACCAGCTGTGCTTTTAACAGCATTTAGGCAGGCTCCGCATTTTTGTATGAAGCCCCATGTGCAGTGAAGTTTATCCTGTCACATGATTAATGCACAAGTCTTTGCAAGTCTACTAGTTGGCAACAATTTTCACATGAAAAGGTTTATTAAACCTTCATTGAGCAGGAATAATACTTGCTTTAACCACATATAGACTAGATGTAAGGACAATTTTGTATTTTGGAGGAGTGTTTTTTTCAATCAGGGCAACCTGCTCCGTCCCATAATTGGATAGACCAGGTTGCCCAGATTAAAAAAAAACAAAACACTTAATCTCTCCCATGGTATAGCCGACAAAGCGAGGAGAGCCCATGGCTTAGAGGTTAATACATCTACCTAATATGCAGGTGGCCCGGGTTTGAATCCCAGAAGGGTATGGCTAGCTGAGGAGAGCTGAATAACTTGAAATAGATCTATACTAGCCTCCCTTTATGTCTTTGTCAGTAAAACCTACATTTTGGAGGAGTTTCCTTTTACTGCTATTCACACATAAAATTCAGTTGGATCTCTTTAAAGTAGTCACGTGACTCGTAATGTTCTAAAAGGCCTCCCATATCTAGAATTACGGAGTTGTATTTTCCAGGAAAAAACAAACTTTCAGGGAATCTTAAGGCCATGAGTTAGACTGAGAAAAAACAGACTGGCAGAAATAAGTGGGAACCATTTCCATAATGTTATCAAGGGAATGGCCTGGGTGTTGTGGCCTGCCTGTGGCCAGTGGAACTGGCAGCAGATTCGGAGAGTGAGGAGGTTGGGGAGGAACTTGAGCCAGTCCTGGAGTTTGGGGAAAGGCTCTAATGGGTGCTGTGCGTTGGAGGCAGAGAGGGGGCCAGGGCCAGGCGACATTTATCAGCTGCCTTCAAAGTCAGAGATTTGTGGGGCCCTTTCCTGAATAATCTTTCCCTCCTCCTCCTCCCCTGCTTGTTTTTCATACAGCTTTAAAAAGAATCCAAGAGCTGGCAGAAAGCAATTTATGCACATTTAAAACATAACTATCCTTTTGGATTTTGGCATTCAGAAACATTGACATGTCACTTTAACGTTACTGAAATTAAAACTCAGAGGAGGAAGGAATAATTGCTCTTTACCGACGTATAATTTACTGCAATGTGTGTTGAATTTTCATATTCTGCAACACTATTTTTTTCATGAATGATGATATGTGTCTTCTATTTGCAAGATTGGAGAGCAATTGTGTGTGTGTGTGGGTTTTTTTCTCTCACACACACACAGACACCAGGTTGTTACTGACCAGTGGTGGGATACAATCGGTACGCCCTGGTACAGGCGTACCGCTGCCTGCTAGGAGCACCAGGTACTGTTCCGGTACGGTGCTCCGGAGGGCCTACCCGCCCGCCCGCCCTTCTTATCTGTATTTGAGCCGATCAGGGCTTACGCCCACAGAGCATACGGCGCCTGTACAACGCTCCGCCAAGCAGCTGGAGCGTCACAGAGCATCGCGGGCGGTATGTACACATGCGTGCGTGCTGCGCATGTGGTGGACGCCCGGACGTACCGGTTGCAACAGGATCTAGAACCCACCACTGTTACTGACAATAATTCCAGTCTTCATCCCAAAAATGGGAATAAGTATGAAGACTTTCCCCTATAATTAGCTGTTAGATTTGGTTGGTTTATGGGATTGAGAAATCCCAGCTAACAAGGAGGGGAGAAAATCAGAACATATTGACTTGAACTGAATTTCCTGATTCAGCATTCCAGGTAGCCAATTTATTCAAACACAGGAATCCTTAAAACAAATATTTTTAGCACAGTATCAGATAATTCTAAATATTCATGCTTGAATGCAGTCTTATGGTACCTCAGTAGCTCACAGGCCCAACACCCAGTCCATGGACCAGTATCGTGCATGCCAGAAACTGGGCCGTGGAAACAAGCGAGGCCCCATCTGTGGGATGCAGGTAGCATGTGAAACCATGGTTCCCTCCGGTCCGCGGAAAAAAACTCTCTCTACAGAACCGGTCCTTGGTGCCCAAAAGGTTGGGGGCCGCTGATTTAGTCTAATAAAGCTGTGGCCTTTCAGTTAAAAGATATATCTGGGCTACAGTCCAGAATGCTCTTTTAGGTATCACTAAAAATGTATACAAAGTGGCATGACGCGAAGCCATGACGCGCGGCCTTGCCTGTTTGTCTTCCAATTAGCTATGCTTTGCGTGTGCGACAGTGCGCATGCATGCTGGCCCGCTGATTTTCAGGTGTGCCAGAACACGGAAGTTCAGCTTTTCCAGAGCCCGATCCCTTCGCGCATGCGGCAGTGTTGAAGATTTGCCTGCACATGCGCTCCAGCCAACTAATCTTCGGGCGTGCATGCACTCAAACCTGGAAGTTTGGCTTTTCCGGAGCATGGCCTCGATGAGCAGACGCGTGCGCATGCAATGTTATACTGAACCTTTTTGGCACTCGGTGTTGAAAAGGTTCACCATCGCTGCCCCAGGTGACTTGTTCTGAAGAGCATCTCCAGATGCTGTTATCACACACTTAATTGATACAGTAAATTTTTTACATGAGTTGTTAGCGCTGTAGTAGAAGCTACTTTTCAAAGAGCAAATGTGCAGAGAGTGAAGATCTCGCAGATGTGCAGAGACAGCTGTGCTATTTGTTGAACAACAACTGTGGAACAAAAATAGGAGAACTCTGCCTAGTGGTTTCTGCTGTATCCAAAATGATGGGCTATTGAAATCATGTTTCCCAGCATCCTGAAATAACCATGTTGAGAAAAAAGTCGCATCAATAATTAAAGGTTGTTGTACTTATACACTAAAGCAACGAAATGTACATGAAAGCAGTCGACCCATAAGATGATCTGCCCTAAATATAGGAAAAATAGAAAGAAAACAAAGCAAGGTGAAAAATCCTACTCAGGGCCCACTTTTTCTTCCCAAAGATGGTTCAGATTGGATCGGCTGATAAATTCTATAAAATAAATACATCTAGAGCGGCCAATTCCTGTTGAAACCAATCCTGGAATTTTTCCTCTCCCCAATAAATGGTTTCATTTGTCTTAATTTATTAATTTAATCACCCCGACTTTTGAAGACTGCCAAAATCCCGCCAAGTGACAGGAAGTGCGAAAAGAGCAGCGATCTCAGATCAGCATATTGCTTTTAGTGTAAAAAAAGAAAAGAAAAGCTGCTTTCGGGATAATTCCCACTGCAAATTACATATTTATGGAGACAGGAAGTCTGCTGCTCCTGCATGTCATTTAAACGGAGCCTGAATGGCATGTTGTATGGAATACATGTTATGGGCAAGTGTATTTACCCCCATTGTCTAGCACCACAAGCAGCTTTTGAATAAATGGACACTAATAGGAATATTAATTACTGTACTTGGTATCATGCTGTATATCGGCGTGTCAAACTCGCATCATCACGTGACGTATTGTGAATTTTTCCCCTTCACTAAAACGGGTCGGCGTGTGACGCATCCAGCCCACGAGTTTGGTACCCCTGCTGTATATTATTAACTAGCTAATAACCTGGTGCTGCCTGGGTATTTATTTATCCCAACCCTCCTTCCATGAACATCACCGCAATTTCTAATGTTGGATTTTCTCTCTTACCAGAGGAAGCCCCCTTGTGGAGTATTGTGAAGCTGTTACCATAGCAAATCCGCAGTTTTTCCGCAAAGCCCTTAAAACCTGGTTGTTCCGACAGGCCTGGGGCTGACGGGTGCCCCGTCCCCGCTCGAATTGTGTGGGTGTTGAGTGCCTTTTTAAACTGTTTGTAGTTGTGTGTCCGTTGTTTTTCCCTCCTGTTTGTATCCCCCCCCCCCCCTACTTTGGTTTGTAAGCCGCCCTGAGTCCCTCCGGGAATAGGGCGGCATAGAAATGCAATAAATACAAATACAAATAC